ACGCTCTTTGTTTCTCGGTTTAGTTTACTTTTCAAAAATATTTTTTAATTCTGTCTTCTTTTGGGGGGATAATAAAACTCAATGTCAAAGAAAGCAAATGAAAATCTGTTTAAAATAATATAAATGTCATTTTCACACATCAGCATTCATTAAATCAATTAATATCTGAACCACTACAACTGCACCACATGAAAATGTTTAAGAACAGATTAACAGATGTGTTGAATATCAGCAAACAAACTGGTAATATAATGAATTTAAACTCCTGCTTTCCAACATCAGTCCCCACTGGAAGTAGAGGAGACTTTTTTTTTTCTTTTTAGGTTAAAATACAATCATAGCAGGCCATAATCCTCACTTAGCATCTAACTCATTCATGTAGCTTGTGGTTTAAACCTGAAACACATTTCCATTGACATAGCAACAATAGAACTATCAATGGATGAAAACCATTTTGAATGTTCAAAAACTCTTCTGAGATTTGGGGCTTTCACTTTCCATAAAAAGGAAATGAGTTGGTTGGCAATGAGCATCATTTTAAAAAACAATTATGCATTTCAAAGACTTCCTTGGAGATTGGACAATGAAATGTTATTGAAAGTAAAGAGAATTATTTTTTGAATTTTCAAAAATGTTTATTCTCTTAATAGAAAATAGAAAATATACTGTGTGTTGGCATCTAATAGCTCAGATTGATGGAAATTACATTAGTTTTGTAAAGAACTTCAATTTAAAATTCACTTTTTTCATTATCTTATCACTTTAACCAGACATATGCAATTTTTCAAACATTTCAATTCAAATAGTAAGGTGTTTTTTTTTTTTTCCAAAGAAGTCATCTATCACCAAAAACAAAACAAAAAACCCAAGAGCTTTGGAAGGTGACCCAAGGTAACTTAATAAGTGTGCCAACTGCATTCTTTCTGATAAACTTCAATCAAGTGCATAGACTGCAAAGTTTTCAGTGTTTATCAGTTTACTTTTAAAGGAACCCACCTCCAAAGCTTTTCATGTAAATAAAAGTGGGTCCAATTACTTCTTGTAGCTGTTCATCAGTAATAACAAGGTTCAGGTATTTTTAGGAATTCAGCTTTTATTCCACCGAAGTAGCTAAAATTCTACTTTTACTTCCGATCCTAGCTGAGTTTAATGTATACTTGAGTTTAACGAGTATTTGGCATTGCATATGTGGTCAATTTACCTTAGTTCACTTATTTTTGAGTTTAGCTATAAAATGTGATGGTGGATGTTTTGACTATTCAGAATGAAAGGCAAAAATAATATGCTAAGAAAAAACTACGAATTGCAGGGTAATTAAATCATTTTTGACCTTGCTTAAATCTAGTTTGGCATCTTTCATTTAAAAAATTAGGGAAAAATGGGGTGCCTGGGTGGCTCAGTCGGTTGAGCGTCTCACTTCGGCTCAGGTCATGATCTCACGCTTTGTGAGCTGTGCTGACAGCTCAGAGCCTGGAACATGCTTCAGATTCTGTGTCTCCCTTTCTCTCTGCCCCTCCCTCACTCACACTCTGTCTCTCCTTCAAAAATAAATAAACATTAAAAATTTTTTTTAAAAAAATGGGAAAAATGGGTAAGATGCTTAAACTATGAATGCAAAATTATTTTATATTTGGCACTTTTTCAATTATCATAGAAATAATTTGGTTATTTATGTCCATTATTAACTTTACATTAGTAACTCATAATATTTAGAGGAAAACAAGAGCTGTTTTAGACCTAACGTAAATTCTAGGTACAAAATAATACTACATTTTGTTTTCTCAGTGTAAAAAAATATATATTGTATTGTTTATAACCATTTATAATAGTAATTGTAACCTTGTCAAATTGATGATTGTAATACAGAACACTAAGATTTCCTAAAAAGTATCAAGTATGTCTAGTGAAATTTCAACTTATAAACTAATATATACTTACTTGTGTAGGATTGAACTGATTTGTACCTAAACTGAAAAAGCTTTATTTTCACCACTGGGGAGGGCTGGATGTCTGGTTTTGATTGCTCCTGGCCAGGATAAAGACAATGGTGTGCTTTTTGAAATCTTCAATTCTGTTGGCAATCCCCAGATTCACTTTTTGCTTATTAATGGCTTATATTTGCATAACAATTTACATAGCTTGGCTTGACTGTGTGACTAGAAAGACATAAAACCCCTGCGGGGTAATTCTGCTTTGAGTTCTCAAGACACATTCCTAGCACAGATCTTGGTGGTTCAATTCAGAAACAAAGTGAGGTCTCTGTGTAACTAAGGTCCCTAGGGAATTTGCCCATGGATGGAACACATTTTACAAATTCAACGACACAATTCACCAAACGTATACAAGGAGTCAGTGGAGAAGCTTGGATTTATAGGGATGATTATTTAACTACAAAGAAATCTACACAACAGTGTCCATAAAGTACTAAACTTAAATGGCACTTTGATACTCACACTGCAGGGAATGGCCAGCAAACCCTGCGCAGACCTAGGAAAGATTACTCCACAGTAATCACAAGCCAACCACAAATCTCTGTTGGCTTGTGTACAGAGGGCATATAACATTTCAGGCAGGCAGAAACAAAGGGTGCTTGACTTAAAGGTGAACAATCACAAGAGACTAATCAAATCAGAGATATACAGCAAGGGTCTCTGTGTCTTACTGTTTTGCTAAACTTCGTGTACAATGTATAGATAACAGAATTCCCCCAAGGACTTCAGAAACACCTGGGAGGGCCTGCCTGGGCATTCAGCAGTCAGGGCTGTTACGCAGGTCTTCTGCATTTTAAGAGACCCACACCCCTCACAAGGTCAGCTGCAGCCCACCAGCAAATTCCGTGTTCATTTTACCTAGCCAAGCACTGGATAATCTCTTCATCCTCAGTAATAACCCCAACAGAACACCTGGAGTAAGAAACATTAAGGAACACCTGAGCTTAGATGCCTCTTTGTTACTTAAGTGATGTGTGGTTGTTGCTTGTGATAGTCAAAACAGGTAAACTTGTTTCATTATCAGGAAGCACACAGTATGCTCCTGAAAGTTCTTCCTCATTGACAGGTTAAACAGTGAATATAAAAGGATTGTCACCCTGAAAGAACAGAGCTTTTCTAGAACTTGTGTAACTACCCTAGGACAGGTTAATTTGCAGATTGGTGCACATCACCGACCTAGGACTCAAGGAAAACTTTGCTAGAATAGACTGCATGCAATCTGCTCTCGGTTAAGTATTTATGTCCTTGGATAAATCAAAACATGCATGAAATGTGTAAGAGAGGCCTCTTCTCACCCATTTGTATCACACATGAAAAGCTGCAGTAACATTTGAAGTGTTATGCTGTATATCATATTGTAAAACCTTGAATTGAGAGTAACTTGCTCTGCGAGTGTTCCACAAGACATTTCTAATAAATCTTAACTTGATAAAGAGCCAATGTCTTGTATTATGAGTGGTACCTGATGCCGAATGTCACATGATCACAACTGAGCCAATGGTTCTTGAAATTCACTTTGATATACAAGTGCTTTGTATTGCAAGCATGCTTCTGGAACAAATTATGCTCACAAACCAAGGTTTTACTATACCTTAAACTTGGCCTGTGATATAATAAAAGAACTGTGCAAGGAAATGGGCAGCATGAGGAAAGAGGATGGGTGGAATGATTTTTCTCCATATGTTTTATTTTGTCCCTTTAAGTTTACCTGGGTGCAACATTTTTCCTAGAGAGCATGCTTCAGAAATGAAGTTTGGATAGAATTAGGTCACATGAACACAAGCAAGAATTTACTCAAAGGTAACTGATGTTTGGCTATAAACTTCCAAAGAGATATTGAGGACTGTCATGAGACTCATTCTTTACCCATCTTGACATCCACTGGAGATGTTACATGTTCCAGAAACTCTTTCTTGCCCCCCTCACCAAACTCAGTAATTCTCTATCCCCCACTTCCACACCTCTATTCACTGTTGGAATATAACTTAAAAACTAAAAGATTATATTCTCTTTAGTTATTAGGAGGCAACAAAGTGTGGCTGAAAAATTATTACCATCAAGTCTCATGTATTATAATTGTAATATAAACAGTCTTATGATGCAACTGAAGAAAAAGAATAGTGGAAATAATTTCTTCAATAAAAGCAAGATTATTATAAAATATACCAAGTAATTTTTAGTAAGTGTATCCAAAGCTACATTATTGAGAAAAATTCTAGGAGAAAAACATAGTTCAATATGACAGTTCTTATTAGCAAAAAAGAAATATTATTAAACAGGGAATAAAATTAGAAGACTTTATTTAATATATCCACATTGAGCAAAATGGGAAAATGCCATGTGTACCATGTAACGAATTTCGTAAGCAGATTATTAAATCTAGTTTAAAACATGCTTTTGCTTCATCATGTCTGCCAGAAGCAATATTTCCATGCTGAATATTTTGTGTTGAAACATTCTTTTAGCCTTAGGGAACTCATTTATTGTGATTTACACTGTACTTTTTTTTTTTAATCAAGCGCATTATACAGTTTCTTGTACTTTTATAAATAGCAAACAAGCAAGTGGAGTATTTAAATGAAAACATATGTTTAGTATAAATTATTACTCATTTTCAAAATTTGTCTGATACATTAATATACCAAATTAAAGTCTGAAATAATTTCTTATATTTGGCATTGTAGTCTATATTTCCAGTTGTTTCCTTAGGAATTTGTTTTGAAGGTTGGACGAAAATTGACTAGCTTTATTCACTGTATGCTGATTTCTATCCAGGTAGAGGAAACAGTTGCCATCCTAACCACTGAGTGGGATACAGGAAGGGTCACCTCTGGGATAGTACTCCCGACTGAGCCTGTGGGACATTTAGGGTATTAGTCTATCTTTGTTCCACTCATAGGGGTAGAGAATTAAAAGCCTGTTTTCCTCATTCCTTTTTTTGTTTTTAATTACATGGGTGTTTCTTAGTTCAATGCTTTGATTATGAAAATTATTTAAACATCCTTTTAGGTATATGATGATGGTAAATCTCTCTTCTCTACCACTTCTAACCAAGTCAATACCACCAGGGTATGGAGTTGCAGGAATGAATGGGTTTCCAGAATCCAGGATCTGTAAGAAGTTCATGTTTCATTCAGCTTTGTTATTTTGCATATTTGAGTTTCTGTTTAATGTCTATAACCAAAAGTTAGTAGTCTGTCATGTTCCTAGGATCACTTTACCTTTTCTTTGTCTTGACTTCCTTCGGCAGGTTTTTTGTTCATTTATATTTGGCTTATTTGTTTGTTTGTTTAGTGTTTTTTCATTTAGCCATGGAATCCATGTTCCTTCTCTCTTCCCTGTAAGTTATTTTGCTTCAGTTCTATTTTACCCTTTTTGAAAGTCTCTTTCTGAAATGAGCCATGTTATTACCTAAGGCATATATCTTTATTTTTAATTGGATGACATGCACACATATTGCCCCAATCTATTTGTAATTTCAAACGCCACAAGAAAAAGGTTAGGGAAACTAAGTAATTGTCTCCTAATGCCAATGTTTGCTTTCTACAATTGTATTTGTCTACTTGCTTTGAATTGGGTTCATGTATAGCTTCTTCTGATACAGTTTCTGCTTCAAGGATCTTTGACTTCATCTGTGAAGGAAATAAAGGAAATAATGGCAGTTTTCCTCAAAGACATATTTTGGTCTGTCAGTAAATAGATTATCAGAAGATCACTCCTGCCTCTAGCTATCACACAGAGCTGCACAGCTTGTTACAATAGATAAATTTGTGTTCTCACAGATCATTAGGCACATTTTGAAAAGCAGCTTTGGAACCTGCCATTTCACATACTGTAAACAAAGTACTAGATAGCGAATTAAAATGTAAGCAATCATTTGACAAGCACTGTTCATTGTTTTTCAAAACTTTTTTTTTTAATGTGCCCATGTACAAAGCAGCAGCAGGATTCAATATTCTCAATAGGATATTCTTTTTACTATTTATTCTCTGAAGTGATTTTTTTTGTAGCAAATTACTTCAGAATTTGATTTTATTAACAGTTTTCTTGGCTAAATAAAGATCAGTTAATAGCAGGAACTGATATACTCATTACTTTAAGTTTCCCACATATCTTACTCAAAAGAATTTAGATTTGCCCAGTGGTCATATTTCAATCAATATCTTACATATTTTATATCCCTGTATTATTTCCTTCACATTCAGAGAATCAGTGTTTTCTGTGCATGCCTGCCTTTGTCCACGGATAATTACTTGTGCCCTACTGTTTTAATATTGTTTTTCCATGGTAACATTAAATAAATGTTCATTATTCTTACTGTTTCTAAATCAATGACATATTTTGAATGCTAAAGAAAGTCACATTTCAATAGATCAAAGCACATATTTTCAGGGAATATAAAATTATTTGTAATTATATAGCTACTTTTAATAATAGACTGGTTTAAAGAGAAATGAAAATTGAAAAGATAGTTTAAAAGTGCCACAAATTACTATTAGAATGACATATGACTTCTTATTCCTGATGAGGCATTTTTCACAGTATTGTAATTTCCTGTTTATTCTTGTATGTCAGCTATTACTTTCTGAACTCCTTAAGTTAAAAAAAAACACTTTATTTTTATACTAAACACTTGTTAGCAATAGCACAGTGCCCAGACTATGTTAGAAGCATAAATATTAAAAAAAAAATGAAATGAAAGACAATTAACTCTACCATCAATACCAGTATAACAAAAGTGAATTTTTAAATGGTTTTTGGTGATACACAATGTTAGATATTAAATGGCTTAACTCCTTATAGATGATAGGAATTAGAAGATGTTTTCAGTCATAAGCCATCTGTTTACTGCAAAGAGTTCATCTAAGATGGCTAAGGAAATAATCATGTAAGGTTTTATGTAATATTTACATTGAATATTACCAACTGAGTACTCTGGGACTAGACATTTATATTTCTTACCCATTAATGTGGACAAAGGTGGTAATCTGAGGATTCCAGATATATTTGCCTGTGACTCTAAGTATTTGAACTGACATCTATCTCTGGAGAAATATTTTATTTTTGGAAGTATATGGTCACCATTATTCTTTTCCTATATCATAATATGCTTTATGCTGCTTTTAGGATTATTTTCCCAAAACAAAAAATCTGCTCCAAGATAAATACATGAAGATTCCCATACACTTCAACTCAAGCTAAGTTTTATCCTTTATAATAATATGTAAGTCTCTGGAACATGTGATTTAACTTTCTCTCTCCTGTTCCTATAGCTTGAACTTGGTGAGCCTCTTATCACTTTCCAACTAAATCATACAGTTTAGTGCCTCAAAGCTACTGCTCTTACCATTGCCTAGAGGCTCTACCCAATACTTTGGCATTTTTTTTCTCATCCTTGAAGACCCAGATCAAAATATACCTTCCTCAGCAAATCCTCAACTAACTGCATGATGTAAATGATGAGACTCCCTCATTTTGCTTCTATAGTATTTTCCTTCCTTTCCCCTATACTCTAGGACCTACAATGATGTTATGACAGTGCTTGCACTTAATTCTGACACTCACAGGATGAGGACTTTATGTTTATAAGCTCCAAGGTACTTAGATAGACTAACAAGACATTTAAATAAAGACATTAAATAAATAAATGAAAAAATAATAGATATCAATAAAGGTCGTAAATATTTTAAATTTTATTTTCTATTAGAATTTATAAACTAATAAAATAACTGATTATAAAAATCCATTTACTCTGCTAATACTATTTAAATGAGGACTAGAAAACAGTCTTTCATTAAAAACAATAAATGACTGTATGATCTACATTTGTCCTAGTTATAATCTACATGAGTAAGAACACAGAAAGATGTATACATTAATTAAAATGTTAAAGCTATTTGGGTGCCTAGGTGGCTGGGTCGGTTAAGCGTCTGATTCGATTTTGGCTCCGGTCATGATCTCGTGGTTCATGGGATTGAGCCCCACATCGGGGATTCTCTCTCCTCTCTCTCTCTCTGCCCCTTCCCTGCTCATGGTTTCTCTCTCTCAAAAATAAATAAAAAAACTTACAAAAATATTACAGTTATTTATTCATTTTTGAAAGAAAAATTGTTTCCTTTGTATATCTCTCTTACGGAATCTATCAAATCTATGCCTATTGTCCTCCAGCTCAACCTTCAACATCATATAAATTAGTTGGAATTTGCACAATTTTTAAAATTTATATTATCAAAGGCCATATTCTGTGCAACGGAAGCTTGGTAAGTGTAATAACCTCAGCCAAAATCTGTAGCTTACAGACAACCTTCAAGAGTTATAAAATTTAGTTATTATATTTTGTTATATGTTTTTCACTAGTGTCTCCATTCTATCATTCCAGTCTTTCTCTATTATTTATCAACAAATACATTCAAAGTAGTTTTTCTTTAGTCCTTATTAATGTAAGCAATCCAAAACTGACCACAGAACCACAAGCAATTTTTGTCAGGTGTAAAAAACACACACACCAAACACACACACACACACACACACGGTCACACACCTACAAAATAGGAATATCATCTCTTTTGCTTTAAGTACTATACTATTATTAAGGTACATTTATTTCATTCTGGCAAAGCAAACCCCACCATGGCAATAAGTACATGAATGTATTATCTATGTGTTTGTTTTTGTCATATTCAGCATTGTAAGCCATATCATATGGGTCCTACATCATTTTTCTTTTTTTACAGATCCATTTATTTATCTATTTTCAAGGACTTCTACTTTAGTAAAGACAGAAGAAAATAAAAATTTCTAGAAAAATGATTTTAACTGAAGAAATGTCTATGTGTAGCATAAAAAGGGGTTCTCTGGCTAATATCCCAGGGAAAACAGAAGGAAGTTGAGAAAGGTGAGAGGGGTATTTGAGGTTGCTCTGTTTCAGGGGATGTCTGAGGATTTGGAAGAGATATCTATGAATCAAAGTAGCATTTCTGATCTCTGCAATGGAAAGGGGGAGTGGCATGAATATACATATTTGGTTCAGAGCTATAGTAGGGAGTCACAGGAGCACTAGGAAGGCCAGAGCATCAAAACCCAGGATCACAGTACCTGCTTTAGAGTGAGGTTTGCTGAGGAAAAAAAAAAAGAATCCCACTTAGCCTCTATCCCCTACCTCTCCCTCCACCACTGCCCAGACTGTCACAGCATTCTAAGGAGAGCTGAGTAACATATAGCAATGCAATACTACTCAATTTCAACAAAAATTATGAGACATACAAAAAGATAAGAAAAATAATGTAAAGGACAAAGCAATAATCAGAATCACAGATGTAGGAACTATCAGACAGAATTAAAATTTATCAGTAAGGGGTGCCTGGGTGGCCAGTTGGTTGAGTGTCCAACTTCAGCTCAGGTCATGATCTCAGGGTTCATGAGTTCAAGCCCCACATCGGACTCTGTTCTTACAGCTGAGAGCCTGGAGCCTGCTTCAGATTCTGTGTTTTCCTCTCTCTCAGCTCCTCCCCCACTCACACTCTGTCTCTTTCAAAAATAAGTAATAAAATAAACATAACAAAATTTTTTAAAAAAATTATTGTCAGCAATATGCTAAAGGTTCTAATGTAAAAAAAAGGTATAAAAATGTAGAATATTAAGTTTTTACATAATATCATATCTTCATTAGAGTCACTATTTTTCCAATCAATATTATATGGTAATATAAGTCATAGCTGATGAACACACACCTTAGAGGAAAAAAGAATAATAAACTTAGATTTATATGAATTTATGACAGCCCCAAATAATTTTGGATTTTCATAAGAAGAAAACATCAAAGCCATATACTAATCATAAAGCACATATTTAAAACATTTAAAATAGTATTTTGTAAATATTTCATATGTAACATTGCTTCTTTCCTTGAAATACTTTTATGCATTGTTTTGATGTACTTTTTAAATTTTATTTTGAAATATTTTAGATTTACAGATGACTTGTATATATAATACTGAGAATTCCCGTATAGCCTTCCATCAGCTTCCCCTACTCTTAACCAGGGCGCCTGGGTGGCTCAGTTGGTTAAGCGTCCAACTTTGGCTTGGGTCATGATCTCACAGTTCATGAGTTT